GTTCTCAGAGATGGAGGATAGTGGGGTGGTTTTCAACACATCTTTCGGTGAAGCTGTGGAGGAGACTGGTGTTGGACGAATATCAGATATAATCGGCTTGGTTGGATAGCATTTAAGGAAGGAAATCAGGTTTTTGGGACGATGATAGGAGTGGGTTCTGGCAGCAACGTATTTGATTTGGTGGTAATATTATTGATATGTAGATTCCAGTAATATGTAGAGAATTTAGAGTGCAAAGCGAACTTCCTTTGACAGACTTGTTTAAGCAGGAGAGTGAAGTATTTTCAAGTTTTGGCTCTGATACCACTTTGATGCAGGATGAAAGAAGGGACCAGAAGAAGAATTTCAAGAAGGAGAAGAAGAAGGCAGCAAGAAGGGGAGAGAAGACCGAAGAGAAGGAGGGGAGAACCGGAGAAGAAAACCAGGGGAAGGGGAAGTAAGGGAGGAAACGGCTACAAGCCAAACATAATAACATTTCATTCCATCATCGTCTGCTTGTAATTACAACTGAAAACCATATAAATAGTAGAATAAAACCTAACATTCATGGGCTTGGACTAGGCCCGCTAGACAAGTCCAATAAAGTGAAAAAAGACATAATTAAATAACACGAATTAAAAATAAATAAGCCGAGATGTCTGCATCAGGTACACTTTGAAAAATAGCTTCAGGGCTAAATCCAGATCATTCTGTCTTTGTAACTCAGCCAAAACATTCAATAAATCAGCCTCCAAAAGCCTATTGAGTTTATTGTTGAAAACATGCTCTAATCTGGATGGGGATTTATGTGCCAATTTTAATGACTTTACTGCTTGAATTGTGTTAAGGATAAAATCATACATCAATTAAAGATAAAAACATAGATCAACTTATAAAGAATTATGCTATTCCTTTTAATAAGGTTGACCTTTTAAGATGGAACCCAAGTTTTAACATGGTATTAGAGCCTATTAAACTCCAATGAACAATTCGATCCAATTAAGACTCAATAAATGAGCACACGAAATTTTAGTCTGTTCAAACGAACTACCATCTTGCCGGTCGGATAAAATCCAACGTCGATCAAAAATGAAAACATAGACCAACATATAAAGGATTGGACTACTCCTCTTAACAATGTTGACATTTTAAGATAGAATCCAAGTTTTAACAAATTGCCTCAGTGGAGAGCACTCTTGTTCTCCACATGGGTTTTTTGGGCCCATTTCTTAAGCCGCGGCTGATTCTTACTGTACGCAGAGTAAGATTAAGTGCGGAAATTCGGAGGTTTTAGCAAATACTTGAATGAGAAAACTCAAGTTTGAAGGTGCTCATTACGCCTAAAGATCGAGAAAACAGAGCAGCCTGGTATTTTTACTCGCATATTAATTTGGACAGGGGAGCAGTTATTTATTCATTTCTCTTGTATTTCAAACTTAGTGACCTGATTGACATAAAAATAAAATAAAATAATAATAATAAAAATAATAAAAAAATTCTCTAACTGAATACTTGTCATATGCTTATCGACCATCAATATTTTTATATTTTGGACCAATAAAAAGTTGAATTCTCATTTCATTAAATTATATCGATACCTGATCCATGTCTGAAAGTTTCTTTGATAGTGCCAAAACGTAGAGAAATGTTGCTACAAACATCTTTTGAATATTATACAAGCTTAGCTTGCAAGCGATCATGATCGAGTTCCTCTACTGCACAAGAACTACATCCACTTTTTGCTACAAATGTGCGATCAAAAAGATAATTGTATTGTATAATCAAGTTCTACACATTGAAGTCATACCCTACTCTTAATCATATGCAATCCATGCAAAATCAATGCTTAACATCCAGTGACATGACTCAATTTCTTAAGGGAAGAATTCTAGTATCTTAAAAACTACATGATTTTCAAGCCGTGCGAGGTATCTATGTTATATATCACTCGGATTCAACCAAGTCTACAGCATAGATTCAGGACAAAGAGATTGAATAGGCAGAAATAGGCTGGAAAGGGAAAATAAACTTCATGGCAGGCCGCTTTTTTTGCCTATCAAATTTCTTGATCCTTTTAAACCAGAAATCACTTGTTCTTGTGCTTTGTCAAGACATTGCAACCGTGCAAGTAACTTGTTTTTGCCTAAAGGCAAAATTTGAGAAAAGGGATTTTGGGCAATTCTTGATTTCTCCCTTTATACGGTAAAAACTAGTGCAAATTAGCTTCGAACTTGAGTTTGACTTATGTTAAAAGGTCGTAAAAAGATATGACGGGCCGTACATGATTGGACAAAAGTAAGAAATGAATGCATGTAATAAAATTTACACCATTATTTTGTCACTGGAATCCAACATCAAAGAAAAGCAATGAAACTAGAAGGCACACTCAGAGAACTTCAGCCCTTCGTTATACTTTATATTGAGACATTGAAAGGATATCAGCAATGTCTTTCTTGAAAAACCATGGTGATGAAGTTTTCTCTAGTGCGGAAAAACTATGAATTCTATGTTAAGAAGTTGATCTGCAGAATATTCATCGACAGCCCATGCAAGATCAATGTTTGACATTCAGTGACATGCCTCGCCTTCTCCAGGAGAAAATTTCAGTATCTCAAAGGGGGTACTTTTAAGTTTGGCCATATCAAACAACCAATTTTCCACTTTAACCAAAAAAATTTGACATTCACCACAAAGACCTATTTTTGTGTAAAAGACAAAAATACCCTTAAATGAGTTATACAATTACAAATATAGAAATCTGTTAAAAAGACCAAAATATTCTTAAGTTACAAATTAAAATCCAAACACCTCTCAATTGAGATTTGAAAACGAAGTCACTCTTTTCATCAGTTTACTCTAACATGATAAAAACTCTTTCATTTTTCATCCACTTCAACCTCAAAATTTCATAAACTTATCAGTCATCAATCTCAACAAGAATATTTCGTTAAATTTCAGCACTTTAATTCGGTAAGTATCTTTTCATAGTATTTAATTTTGCTTTTATTGAAGTCGTATATTTTTTTAAATGGTAGAGAAAATAATATTAAAACCAAAATGAAGGCCAGCACTGATCTGATGCCGGAACGAATTATGGTCCGTTACGGACCATTATAATGGTTCGTAACGGACCACGATGTGGTCCACAACGGACCATGTCGTGGGGACCACATTGTGGTCCGTTGTGGACCATTTGGCTGGACCGAACCCAAATTTTTTTTTTATTTTCTGAATTTATTTTAATTTTTATGTTAAAAATGTAATTAAATATGAAATAAATAATATATATATATTAAGATAATTAACGAAATATTTAAAGATATATTAGAATTTTAATTTTTTTTCTTTTTTACTTAAATATATGTTTAGTAATTGAATATACATTTTAAATAAATAATCGAAATAGAGTAATTAAATATGAAATAAATAATATACATTTTAAGACAATTAAAATAATTAATTATGGAAACAATTAATATAATTAATTGAAAAAAGACTTAAATGAAAAATCGAATAAATATTATTTGATCATGGTTCCTCCCTCTCCCCTGAGGAATCTGAACAATATTTTGCTGTTTTAGCGGCATTGGATTTCAAATCAATTGAAAAGATTGTGATTTTCATTCAAATTCTTTCTATTGCATACAAAAATGTTGAGTTTCGTTTTAATTGTACTGATTCTTTTTTGTCACTAATTGTGTTCTATAGGGTAAAAAACTATGGAACACTTCCAGAACAACGAGCTTGAGTACGTTTTTTATGATTACTATGATGTCACTGATAATTGTTTAATTCGTAATGCAGATATGGCGAAAGCATGTGTCCCAATCTATTACTTCGGCGAATTTCAAAGAAAATAAAATGGTCAATGGGAATGAAAATGGACGAGTAAAGGAGAAGGAGTTGCTGCTATTTCGATAACAAAAAATACATCGTTTACGGAAATGTACAATGAAATACAAAACATGCTTAACGTTGATTCCTCTAAGTACGATATGGAATTGAGATTTTTATTTCAAAAGCATTCAACAATTTCGATTCCACCTTTGAAAGTTACTTCTGAAATGCAAATAAAGCATGTAATTCAATTGAATCAAAGTCGAAAGACAACTCCTATTTGCGTAACTTTGTTGAAGAAAAATGTCCCCAAGGGTGAACACGAAGTTTTCGATGGAGAGGATCGTAACGAGAATGATTTTTGGGATACTGTTGAGATTGCTCGTGAGGATGATGTGGTTATTCCCGGGACAACTGCTACCCGCCATAATGTCACTGTTACACAAAGAATTTATGAGGAAGTTCAAGACAACGAGGATGAAAGGCCATTTACAAATCAAAATTTAATTGCTTTATCCATATAGAGATATGAGTCAGGTGGGAGTTCACATGCTGGGGCTGAGTACACGGTCTTCTAATTGTTCGCGTGTAGTTCCTAATGATGAAGATTTACATGTCAATCAATTGTTTGACACGAAAAGAGATTTGCAAGAAGCTGTGCACCGAATTGCAATGAAACATAATTTTGAGTTTAAGGTAAAAAAATCAAACAATTCTACATACACAATTATTTGTGTGGACAACAATTGCAGTTGGTGTTTGAGAGCGACAAAGATGGACACAAATGAGTTCTTTGTAGTTCGCAAGTATGCGCAGGAACATACTTGTGAAGTGGGTATTCATCAAAATGATCACAGGCAAGCTCGATAATGGTCTATTGGTCGACAGATAATACACAAGTTTCAGGACCCATGGACAATTATAGACCTACAGATATCATCAGCGACATCCGTAGGGAATATAGGGTGGTTATGAGTTACCAGAAGGTCTGGAAGGCAAAAGAATGTGCATTGGAAGATTTAATGGGTTCGACAGAGGAGAGTTACGCCAAATTGGTCAAGTATTGCTACAACAAGGTGAGAACTAATTCTAACTTGACGTTTTTTATTGAAACCGATGGGCAGAATCGCTTCAAGAATTTTTTTATGACTCTTGGACAATGCATTAGAGGTTTTTGAAATGCGATGCGACCTCTAATTCTAGTTGATGGTACAACCCTAAAAGCTAGATATGAAGGGAAGTTGATTATTGTTACATGTCAAGATGCCAACATCCAAATTTACCCTCTTGTAGTTGATATTGTCGATGGAGAGACTGATCTTGCAATGCGTTGGTTCTTCACGAAGTTGAGAGAAGTAATTGGGGACATCGAGAACCTTGAATTTGTGACTGGCCGAGGGCAGTCAATAATAAATGGTATAGCCGAAGTTTTTCCGGAAGCACGTCATGGTTATTGCATGTACCACATTCAGGGCAACCTAAAGACTAGGTACCGGGGCAGTGACATCGTTGCATTGTTTAGGAGAGTTGCAGAAGCTTACAGTTTTGAAGAGTTTACGAAGTTCATGGGCGAAATAGAACATAAATTAGAAAGTGCATGGGAATATCTATCAAATATAGGAGTCGAACATTGGGCACGGTCACATTTTTCAGAACGTCGATACAACATGATGACGTCGAATAATGCGGAGTCACTCAATGCATTATTCAAAAAGGATCAAGAGTTACCAATTCTCACAATGATTGAACATATTCGTAGCAAGTTGCAACAGTGGCTTTATGACTAACGTGAGGAATTCCAGAATTGCACGAGTGTGCTAGTTCCGACACAGGAAGATCGACTATTCAAAACTCTGGAAGTGGCAAAAACTCTATTTGTGGAACCACTAGATCAATTTCGCTTCTCCGTGAGATGCGGGCGTAAAGTTGGATACATTGTAGACTTGAACGACAATACCTGAATGTGTAGACAATTTCAGTTGGAGAGTTTTCCATGTGCGCATGCTATCGCAGTGGCTATGTATAGAGAATTTCCACCACACAGCTTATGCAGTCATTATTACGTGGCTGATTTTTGGAGAGCAGCTTATGCCGAAACTATATTTCCTCTACCAAATGAAGTCGAGTGGGAAGTTCTTGATTATATTGTAATACTTAATAATTTGTTGCCACTTGAAGTTCCACCGCATACTCCTAGTCATAGACAGATGTCTAGAATATCATCTACAAGAGAGTTTCCACAACGACGTAAGTGCGGGAGGTGCGGCGCTACAGGATATACACGTCGATTTTGTACAAGTCAGATCCCACTAAACAATGACTCGACGAATATGTAGTATCTATATAAATCATATGTATTCTCTATTTGTAATATATTTTTGATTTTCTCAATTTAAATCGGATGTAATTTTAATCACATTGTTTAATTACTCTTTTTAATAACATATTTGAATAAAAAAAATAGGATTGATTTAAATATTGCGATTTAATAATTGATATATTGCAACAGTTAAATATTTAATTGGTTATGTATAATTGGTTAAGTTTTTCTTTGATTAATCACATTGTTTAATATTTCGATTATTTATTTGAATAAGAATAATAGCACTTACATCGAGTTTTCGTTTAAGTATTTCTTTCATTAATTATCTTCATTTGGGAAGTATATTTGATTATTTATATTCCTTTAAAAATTATATTTCGTTAATTATCTTAATGTGTATATTGTTTATTTAATATTTGATTGCTATATTTTGATTACTTATGTAAATTAAAATAATAATATTTTATTTTTTTCTTTTAATACAAGTGAGACAATGATATATATTAACTGATAATATGGAGAGATTACAGACACAACAACAATGTAAATTAAAATAATAATATTTTGTTAATTATCTTAGTACGTATTTTAATTATTTCATATTTAATTACTTATTTCGATTATTTATTTGAATAAGAATAATAGCACTTACTTCAAGTTTTCATTTTAGTATTTCTTTCATTAATTATCTTTATTTGGCACGTATATTTGATTATTTATATTCCTTTAAAAATTATATTTCGTTAATTATCTTAATATGTATATTGTTTATTTAATATTTGATTGCTATATTTCGATTACTTATGTAAATTAAAATAATAATATTTTATTTTTCTTTTAATACAAGTGAGACAAACGATATATATTAACTAACAATATGGAAAGTTACAAACACAACAACAATGTAAATTAAAATAATAACATTTTATTAATTATCTAGTACGTATATTAATTATTTCATATTTAATTACTTATTTCGATTATTTATTTGAATAAGAAGAATAGCACTTACTTCAAGTTTTCGTTTAAGTATTTCTATAATTAAATATTTAAAAAAAATTATTACATTGCAACACGAATCATACCGAAGCAAACAACATTTACATTTTAATAAAATAATATACAATACACTAAGGATCACAGTTATATTCATACAAGTTGCAAGCTAATTTATGCCTCCACATATCAATCCAAGACTGATTTATTGTATCAACATTGCGACCAATGCTCAAAAACTCTATGTACTTTATTGCAAATAAGCCACAGTCGCATCTGCAATCGAAGAAGAATATATTAGTTCGATAACATATAACTGAAAATTAAATCTTAAAATTAAAAAGTTTTAAATCCTTACGATCTTTCTTGTTTTGCCGTCGTCATGTTCCGCACAATGGCTAATCTGTCATTTACTCGAATTATCGCATGACTAGCCATCATGGGTACGATCACAGCCATTGGCTCCAGTATTTGCTCTAGTTGACTTTGTGTCAGATAGCTATGATCAGGGTCGTACATATACATAGTGGAATTAGCAAATATGACCTCCACTGAAAAATAGTGTGAGTTCGCGATCACTGGAATGTACATATGTGTACAATCCGTCCACTGCTTTCCGCACCTCGGCTGTAGCCCAATCACCTACTCTAGCATGTACTCAGATAGAACATATTCATTCCCCTTGCTTAGGAGCTTGTGATCCTCAATATCTACGATACAAACAAACTCAGAGCTCAGAATAACTCGACTAGGACTGTCATAAGATCTTGGGTATCTCTGAGCCCGATTGCGTAACAATTCCATAGCCAAGTCGATATGCTGAAACAGAAAAAAAACACCAACAAAAAAGATAGAGTCGTTTAAGTAAATGAACCAACAACTTCTATAAATAATAAATGGAAACTCAAAAAAATTATATCATCGGCGAGCCAAGTTGAGGTCATCAGTACATCTTCGAACCACTTTTTAGCGTTGGCATAGTCATACAGCCGATGGTATAACTATCTCCAAAAAATGAAAAAAAATTACAAAAAATACAAAAAAAGAGTAGCGAAATCATAAAATACTTACTCGGACTTAAGGGACTTCAACCAATCATCGAACGCCTTCTGTCTGACCGAGTCGACGTCGCAAAAAAGATCGGGGAACATCCCATCCCCAAACTCCCTTCTCTTCGCCTCGACCGTGTATGGGGAAACGATGTACTGCAACGGCAATCTTGATCTCTTACCGACCATCATCTCTGGCACGTCATTAGCACGCTTCTTACCCTTCGGCACCTCCGTCGCCCCCTCCGACACGAATACTACATCATCATCCGTCATCTCTGGCATCCTCTCGTCCTCCGCAACCCCCTCATCCCCCTCTACTACCACCTCTGGTGTCCCCTCCGCTACCTTCTCGGTCACTCCCTTCGGTATCCCTGTCTCTCCCTTCGGCACACTTGTCCCTCCCTCCACCCCCTCTATCTTGGCCTCCTCCGGCACTTCTACCCCGACCATCCCCGCCTCCTTTGGCACCTTCGGCCCGACCTCCACCCCCTCCTTCTCGGCCTCCGGCACCGAATCAAAAAACTCATCGAATCCTGCAGTCGTTGCCCACCAATCTCGAGGAACCCCAGTCTCCCCGACACTTCCTCTGACAGAACCTCGGAAGCCTGCTACATCGCCTTGAAGTGCTGCAACCTCAGTATGAAGGTCTCCTATATCTCGTTGCAACACTCCAATCTCATCTCGTAGTGCTACTACCTCTGTCGTAAAATCACGTCGCATCGTTCCCAGCTCCTCTCTAATAATACCAGTCATGCGTGCAAAGAAATCATCTGAATGACGGGTCTGACTAGGTGCAGGCGATCCATGTGGAAGGTGGATGGGTGCGGGAGACGGAGATCTCCTCGGAGAATGTGATAATGGCGGTAGAGGTGATCTCATTGGTGAAGGCGACGGAGATCTCATCGGTGGAGGCGAAGGAGATCTCCTATGTGGAAGTGCTTGTCATTCTACTAGATAACGCTCCTACACAGAGAAGACAATTAATATTAATAATCCACACATGAATATTATAAGTTAGGATAAATAATGATCTTAAATTAACGTACCCTATTTCTATCCGGAACGGACTCAAACACTAGATCGTTTTCAGTAGGTCGAACATGTAATTCACGTACATATATTTGATCCTCCTCTTCCATCAAAACAACCAACTCAACATGAACTTCGAGCAGACATATCATATTTCAACGTGTTAATGAGCATGTATCGAGCCGAGTTAATGTACGTACAATATAAATTGCAAATATATAATACTCACCTAAGGATCGTCGAGGATAGCTGTCAAATCTTTAGCCGATGGCTTCTCATGTGCTCGCCAATGAAGCATTCGTGGGTAGCTGGTCTCCCTTTTAATCGTCCATTTGCTACCCAAAGCAGGGATAACTTCATATGTCCACAACTGCAATAATTACCAAAAAAAAAAAATTACTTGTACATTTAATAAAAAAGTTTAACACGCATTACGTTAAGCTGAATATTTACCTGCAAAGCCATGCAAAAGCCATATACATCATATTTGCGGTCGCCCCTCTCCGATTTTGGCATAGTATGTACTCTTCTGAATGCATGGAGAGTATCGGTGTAACATCTCCGACCCCATGGAAAGCTGTTGAAAGCATCGATATCATCAACATCATCTAATGAAAAAAGGTCAATCAACGTCCTACGATGTCGACACCTCAATATACTCTCCAGTATATACACCAATCCTAACTTCAGCTAGTCTAACATGTGATCGCATCTCCTAAATGCGTCCTCTAACTGTGGTGGTGTAACCGGCCCTTTACCTCTAAAATATAAATCCAATAACTTTTTATTTGGTATAATACGGGCTCTCGCCTTTTCTTCTCCAGTACATCTCAAGCCTGTAATGAGAGCAAATTCAAGGATCGAGAATCTCGATACCTTCCCATCCCCCATAGCAAAATAAAGCTGATTGCCATCGACTGGTTTAAGCAGCCGGAGTAATAAAGAATCAATAATTTGTCAGGAAAACTGCACTTCCTTCAATGGATAGAAAGACCATAAAAACGATCGATGGAGTATGTCGATGTGCTCTTCATCTAGCCCCTCAATCACTATCGCATAGCAGAAAAAGTTACAATACGCCGTAACTTTTCCCAAATGAGCTCTCAGATCGTTGTCCATATTATATTCCATCCTACAAAAATAATATATATTAAAATCATATACAAGAGATTATAAATAAAATATCGTATCTTCAAATTTTACCAATCAGATTTCATATTAATAAAGCAATAAATAGATTCATCCAATTATATGTTAAAACAGTTAAATAAAAAAATTCTCACATATTTGATTATTTAATATTTCTTTAAAAATTATATTTCGATAATTATCTGAATATAGATATTATTTAATTCATATTTAATTATTCTATTTCGATTATTTATTTGAATAAAAATAATAATATTTAATTCAATTTTTCATTTTACTATTTCTTTAATTAATCATCGTAATTGGTTAAGCTAGAAAATTATTATTCAATTTAATTTATTCTTTAAATATTTCGTTAATTACAAATATTATTCATTTCGTATTTAATTATTCTATTTCGATTATTTATTTGAATAAAAATAATAATATTTATTTCAATTTTTCATTTTACTATTTCTTTAATTAATTATCTTAATTGGTTAAGTAAAATATCATTCAATTTAATTTATTCTTTAAATATTTCGTTAATTATGTATATTATTCATTTTATATTTAATTATTCTATTTCTATTATTTATATGAATAAAAATAATAATATTTAATTCGATTTTTCATTTAACCATTTCTTTAATTAATTATCTTAATTGGTTAAGTAAGAAAATTATTATTCAATTTAATTTATTCTTTAAATATTTCGTTAATTATGTATATTATGGATTTTATATTTAATTACTCTATTTTGATTATTTATTTAAATAAAAATATATTAATATTTTCATTTACGTTTTTCTTTAATTAAATATATTAATTGTTTCCATAATTAATTATTTTAATTGTCTTAAAATGTATATTATTTATTTCATATATTTAATTACTAAACTTATTTAATTACTAAACATATATTTAATTCAAAAAAATTAAAATTCTATTTAATTTATCTTTAAATATTTCGTTCATTAACTTAACATATATATTATTTATTTCAT